GCCATTCTGTGAATGGGAACTTGCTCTGTAATATTGTATAAAAAAATTTTTTATTAAACTTAAATGAATTGCAATTTTATTTTTTCTCCTCATTTAATAACTTTTTTGCATGCATTCTTAAGTACGTTTGTATAGCAGCGGACGGACGACCCTGCAATGCGATGAGATGACATCTCAAATGTTGCTAGCAAATGTTGCTGTTGCTGTTGCAATTGCTGTTGATGTTTGTGTATTTTAAGCTTTTTTAGTCTAATGGTATTTTAATGTTTGCAACTCAAATGCATTTTAAGAAAAACTATTTCTATTTGAAAGTATGTTTTTTTTCTATCAATATTTCCATTGCTGTGATTGGAGAGGTAGGAGATTATGTAGATATAAAGTGCCTTCAGCTAAAAATTGTAATCAAGAAATGTTATTCGAAAATTTTTTAAATAATAAATACTCGATAGAATATGCAAATTGATAATTTGTTTGATTTTATTACAAAAATGCATTTTTTATAATTTTTTTAATTCTGAGGATTTAAAATTTTTAAAGAAAAACTTAGTTTATTTTCACTTACCATATTTTTTTAAGTCTTGACTTTATTAAAAATTTATAATAAATTAAAAAATTAATAATATTTTTGTATTAGGCTACTCTGGTCAATTTTTTAGATACAAATAAAAATAAATTATTTTTTATTTTGTCATTTAAATATTTTTATTATATTATTTATATTTATTTATATTTATTTATATTTATTTATATTTATTTATATTTATTTATATTTACTTATATTTATTGATAATTATTTATATTTATTTATTATTTACTTAAATTTACTTATATTTATTGATATTTAATTATAATTATTTATATATATTTATTTATATATATATATATATATATTTATTTATTTTATTATTATTTATTATTTAAATGATAAACTAAAATAAATAAATAAAAATTTAAATAAAAAGACCATAGCAGTGTATACAAAATACTAATAGAAACATATTACTAATATAACTGGCTGGCGTTTCACTTTTTTCACCTATCTAATCCTAAAAACACAAGGAATCTAATGGTTGAAATAAATTTGTCAAATATTATTCATATTTTTTAGTTTTTTAACTAAAAATTAATTATTTAATCTAAAATGATTATTATTTTATACATTTAATTAAATTTAATAACTAAATTATTAATTATTGACCTCACAACACACCTTTAGTCCTCACCAATTCAAGCTATTAGGAATCAAAATCAGTCGAGAAGTTCGAAAATCGAGGCCGCAAAACAGTTTAATCGTCCTGTTTTCGAAGTACAAGTTACATGTTACTGGTTGAAATTATTTGTCGTGTTATCTGGCAACACTATATGAATCTATAAGATTTAATTTAACATCCAAGCTCATATTTCGCAAAATAAGAATTTCGGTTTTTATTCTTATTCAATACTGACCTATTTTTGCTCCCCTAAGTAACGTGGGATGATGTTAACACAATAACATAATTCAAGTGATTGCGAAATGTTAAATCTTCTGGTGTTTTTCTTAACATTTTCAATTTTATATAAAATTCGAAATTATTCTTATATACTGAAAAAACTCTTATTTACATTACTTGGTATATTAAAACTACACAAACGTATTGTTTTTGATAACACTTCATTTTTGAAATAATATGAATAATGTGATATAATTTAATTTAATTACTTAATTAATTACTTTAATTTAATTAATACTACTATTAATAAAAGAAAAGTGCTCATTCTTGTAAAGAGTATTTTGATAGACAGACATATATATGTTTTATTTAATATATCCAAAATATATGTGATAATAAATACGAATAATAAGTAAAATTATAATTTTTTATTAATATATATAAAATAGCTATAAATTAAAATTATAATTCTCATTTAGTTGAATTTATTATAGTTATAAATATTGTTGAATCCTGTTAGAGCCGGTACAGTTCTTAAGTTAATAAAATATCTTTTTGTTATTATTCACATCAGCTTCCAATCTCCCATAGTACACGTTGGTTATTTATAAATATTTTTGTGGTCTTGAAAGAATCTAAAGAAAAAATTATGTTTATACAGTCATCTCTAGAGCGTACATTTATGCATAAATATGTTCTAATTTTTGTAAATAAAATTATATAATTTAAATTACGAGTTTTACGTGTTTTAATAAGTAATCCATATATAATTATTTTTTTAATAAACCCTGTATCTTTATTTTTCATAGTATTATGGTTTATTAAGTACTAAGTATCTGTAAGTCGCAAAAATCATCACTTTAGGTACAGTTTTATTATAAGTTTTACCCTTATTTCTGTTAATATTTGAATGGTAGTCAGTGCTGAAGGTGGTTTTTGAAACAGATATTCTACTTAAGGTGAAGAAAGACTTTACTTTACATTGTTTGTTAATTATTTAACAATTTTAGCACTTCTGTACATCTCTTAGGCTTCTACCAACATAGGTATAGTTTACCACAATACATGATGTAAGTGGATACAAGTCAGATAAAGTAATGTCGTATGCAGAAACCACATTAAAAACATAATTAAATTCTTTTCTTTTTGAATGTATATCCAGAGATGACGAATGGTTTAAGTACATTAAAAGATTTAAGAATTTAACTCTTTTTTAAAGTGTAAACCATTATTATTAGAAAGGACAATGGTTTACCACGACTTTTGAGATTTATTCTGATAATGTAAATCAAAGATAAAAAGCATAAAAATTTAAATTGTACTTATTTCGTTGTAAAATAGTCATTTGTTATGTTAGTTAAATTAAGAGACTTTGTAATGAGTTTTTGCTTTTTCTGTACTGTAATACCACAGACAATAGTATTGAGGTGTACAACAATTGAAAGCTCAGTCAATGTGAGACTTCAATCCACTACAACCAAGAGGCCGTCCACTGCACGAAGCTCAAACGCCTGTTTTTTTGTCGTCATTTCGTCAATTATGTACACTTTTCATACATTCGTCATCGTTGTAGTTGTATCACTGCAGCTGTTTTTTTTTTTTTATAAAAACGTTCTCCCCGCAAGCTGTGAAAGAGGTTTTCGCTTATTCCGTTTAAAGCTGCTTGAACACATTTCATGTGTAATGCTGCTAGGGGATGGTAGATGCCCTTGAAGCCTCCAAGAGTAGTTCCGTTCCTCTATAAAGCGATCACAACAAAACACTACATATTCTGTGCTTTCTGCGACGCTGACAGTTTAAGCAATAGAGACTATCTGCCAGCTAAAATCGGTAAAGATATTCTAAAAAGCTTTCGTGACCGCTCAATATTTGAATCAGATTGTAGTCCACTTGTTACGAATGACTGTATAGGTCCAGCGTCCCTTAGAAGACTGCTCTCATCTTTGCTGCCCTTTTCTACATAAATATGAATGTTCGGTAGATTTTTGATTTGTCGTAGGTGTAGCCCATAAATTCGGCTTAACTCTTTTGCATGTTTGTCCACTGGTAGTTTTCCAGATTTTTGCCTGCGCTTGTTTGTCGATCGCATCAAGAAGTGTAGTGACGAAGGGAAAGATGAATTTGCCGAAATACGTGTAGATATATAAAATAAATAACGATCGAAATAAAAATTTAAAATTCTTTAAAAAACAAAACCGTGAACTTGAAATTTAGTGACATTCATATGTGTGCATACCAGCATATATAGATTATAATCTGCAATATTTAGTCCCAGTAATGAAAGACAAAAAAAAAATTTGATTTCTTATATGAAATTAGAAGAAATAATTTTAAAACATTTTCAATGTCAAAAAATTTATTTATTTATTTTGAAATAGTCACGCTGTCCATCGATTTCGTAATGCAATCCGAGAATTACACCTTTCCGATAAGCTTAGTCCATGTATGTTTATATTCGTATGTATAAACATTAACATAAAAGATTTTTAAATGAAATCTTATTAAATGTCAGTGATATCATATTGATATCATAATGATATCACTTACTCAATACATTAATACCCATAAAATTCAATAAATCTCCAACAATAAAAATGGAAATAAAATTTTATTTAATTTTTTGTTTGTTCAATGGTCACGCCCCTATTTCATTATTGTTTTTGTTTGCAACAATTTAATTTGAATTTTTATCGGTGTCTCAGCCGTGAAAACCAGTTGGTCTACATATTTTTACGATATTTGTTAATTTTATTAATTTTATGCTTACAACAAATTGCACTTGCTACACATTGTTGTTGTTGCTGTTGCAGTTGCGGTTGCTGCTGTTATTTAAACATCGATAATTTAGTGGAAAACGCATACAAACTGCACCACCGGTTGTGTTGTTGTGCAAAGTGCATTGAGTTTGGACTTGGGTTGCATTGCTCAAGATCGGGTTCAAGACTTTTTTTAACTGCTCTTTGGTATTAACTTCGCGCCAGAGGCCAAAAAACAAGCGCTTGAAGCTGCAACGCAGCAGCACCGACTGGCTATTGCCATAGTTGGATACTTGTTTCAAGGTCGAATTCTTCTTTCAACAGACAACAGCGCCAGTCTACCCATTGTTTCGATACATACTTTCCACTTTTGGGTATTATGTTTGTTTCTTTTTGCCTGATTGAGTTTTGCGTGGTAGACGTGGACGTAAACACACGCTTAAGCCTCTCATTATTTTGGATACGCCGAGGCTTATTTTTAAACGCGTTGCAGTTAAATTTAAGTTCCTTTTAAAACCGTTAACTGGTTTCTTTTCCGTGTATTTTTTTTTATTTTTTGATTTTTATAAATATTTTTCTTTTTATAGTATTTTCTGTTTAATTTTTTCCTCCACATCAACTTAATTTTTTTCTCAACCATGAAATTCGTTAATTTTCACTTCCGCTTTTATATTGACACCCAATAAATAAAAATTAATTATTTATAAATAAATGAATGAGTAAATTTGTATTTATGCTTATTGATGTGATATGCAGTGTTTCTGTTTCATTATACAAGTATTTATGTGAAACACGTTATTTCATATTTTTGCAGATCCCTGCTTGTACATTATGCGATTCGCCAATAAATTACAGTTTGGCAATAAAACTCATGAAGTCTCTATGACAGCTCTTCGCATTGTGCAGCGCATGAAAAAGGATTCATTGCATTCAGGACGTCGACCGACAGGATTGTGTGGTGCTGGTAAGTTTAAATTTTAAAGTATATTAAATAAAGTGCATTAAAAGTGAGTAAAAGGATTAATAGTCTTATATGAAGTCTATATTAAGGCACATTATTATCTCTTTAATTACTAGTGATAAAAACCAAAATAAAAATTTTAGATAATTTTATTAGTTTTTAAAAATAGGTCAATCGAAATATATACCATGAATTTTCTTACGATGAATTTTGTTACAAAAAAATTAATATATGTTACAAAAGCATTAGAATGGTAAGAGTTAAAGAGAAGTATATGGTTGAATATAATCATAGCTTGTGCAAAAGAACAAGACTTTATGTATAAAGGACCAAAAACCAGCTCCGACATAAAATAATTATATATGCAAAATACTAAAGATGTATTTATTATAAAAATGAGGGTTGATATATTTCAAAAAATTTTACATAATCTGAAACTTAGTAACTAAAAATATATATATTTCTAATTAAAAAAGATTTTCCTTGAAAAATGATTATAACTAGCAAAAACAGAGATAACATTACAACTGACTGAAACGATTCTATTAATTTATTTTAATTTAATTTTGTGCTTTTTTTCAATATATTTTTATTTTAAAATAAAATATTAAAATATATTATAGTATAAACTAAAGAGTTTTTTAAAAAATTTTTTTTTTATTCTTCAGCGTTATTAATAGCTGGACGCATGCATGAATTCAATCGTATGCCTATGGATATAGTTAAAATTGTAAAAATTCATGAATCAACTTTACGCAAAAGATTGGTGGAGTTTTCCGAAACTCCTTCCAGTTTATTGACCTTGGAAGAATTCATGTCTGTTGATTTGGAAGCCGAACAAGATCCACCATCATTCAAAGCAGCACGTAAAAAAGATCGTGATCGTATAAAAGATGTGAGTATAAACTAAAAATTTGAATATGGCAATGTTTTTACGATATAAATAAAATAAGAGAGCTATAGGTAGAGGCTACGGCTACTCTTCTAAATTGGTGTAATGAGAAAAAGAGAGTTCTCTTAATAAATCTGAATTAATTTAAATATATTTTTTGGCGACGTTCAGGTAACTGCCCGGCTAGCTCAGTCGGTAGAGCATGAGACTCTTAATCTCAGGGTCGTGGGTTCGAGCCCCACGTTGGGCGAAAGTTTTTTTTGTTTCTAAATTTTTTTATACTTGTTTTTAATAAATAAATTCATATTTTTGAAATTAAACTTGAGATATAAAATAAATTAATTATTAAAAATAGCAGCCATTAAAATTATTTAATTATTTATATTTTTTATTAAAAAATAATTATAAAAAAAATGATTGTGTTATGGTTTTATTATATATAAAATATAAAAAGTCCGATAATTCCATTTTGTTTTCCTATAATTCCATAACAATCTGATTTTACAAAATTATAATATATATGTAATGAAATCATTTAATTTTTTTTTTTGTATATTTGATAACATAAAATCGTTAAAATAATTTGAATAAAATAATTTGACCCATATTTATATGGACTGGACATTGAAAGCTAGCCACATTATTGATAACAATATAATATGAATGGATCTGAAGCTTAAATTTTTTATTAAATTTTATAATTTATTTTATTTTTATTTTATTAATTTACAATATAACCTCTTTATTTATAAATAAAACTGAAAATTTTTTTCGTAACTTATTTTAGATTGGAGAAATGGAATTAACGCAGCTGCAGCGAGAAATCGATGATTACTTAGAGAAAGAAATGAAGAAGACCCATAAAGCAGCCGTAAAATGTTTCCCTGGTTTAAATGCTTTCGATCAAAAGGAAGAACTGGATGCAGAAAAATTTATAACTCAATCAAACAGGGATGCTATATCACAATTTATGAAAGTAGAAGGATATTCTGATGCTACAATAAAAGCGGAAAATATTAAATTTGAAAATCTGAAACCCGATATTGAGCAAATGATAACTTTGACTCCAGAAGATTTGATGGAAATTGCAAATAGTAAACAAGTTGAAGAACAGCCGGATGACTTAACTTATCTTGATGATGATGAAGAAATTGATGGTTATATATTAAGTAATGATGAAGTTACGTATAAAACGGCAGTCTGGAATTCTATAAACTCTGGCTACCTAAAGGAGTTAGAAGAGAAAGAGGAAAGATTAGCTAAAGAGCGGGAAGAGGGTAAGCCAGAGAAGAAAAAGCGTAAACCACGAAAAAAATGTATAGGTCCATCGTCTAGTGCCTCTGAAGCTATAGAAAAAATGTTACAAGAAAAGAAAATTTCAAATAAAATTAATTATGATATATTAAGATCATTGACCGAAGCTGGTTGTATACTTAAAAATGATGCTAATAGTGCTGAACCTAGTACATCACATGAAACTCAGTCAGCAGATGTGAAGGATATCAAATTTCTTGATGAACCAAGCACTAGCCAACAAAAATATAAGTAAAAATATTAGTTTTATATGATTTTGAATTTTTTTTTAAATAAATAAATATCTATATTGATTAGTCGAGGTCGTCCAGCTTATACTAGTATTGGTGGCCCCAAAGCTAAAATGTCTAAACTAGAAATTGGATTGCCAGTTGTTGAGTCAGCACCAACTTTAGCTAAACATGAGCCCGTTGTGGTTGAAAATGGTACTATTCTTCTTAATTATTTTTGTCTATAATATTAACAATAATTTGTTTCTTTGTTTTAATAGATGATATAGAAGACGATGGAGAGCTTTATGGTGAACATGATAATGAGGTAGATACAGAACGCGAATATTCATCATTAAAAGATATGCTTAACCAGGGTGAAGATGATGATTACTGTGGCTATGAGGAGGATAATTATTAATAAAATTATTATTATCAAGATTAATATTACATACAGTAGAACTCCGCTAATACGGATCGATAGAGTGGCGGTCAATTCAGATTAGTAAGACATTTGGATTGCTGGATTCATATTAATAATCCAGGAAGAGTATTTTATTTGTTCATAAATTTATTTTAACAAAACTGTAGGAAAATTGAACAATAATCTACTGCTCATTAAATTAATCTATAGATTGAATGGCAGATTAACCGAATAGAGTGTATAAACGAAGCGAATAGGAGTATAAAATTTATATTGCCTAGAAAAATGATAAATATCACATGGGATCCTGACTACAAGGTACACAATACATTTTTGCATTTTCTAATTTTGTCAGGATTATAAGGGATATCAAAATACTTGAGATTCAGAATAGCGAAGAACTACTGTATACGTATATTAACTACGTATTATAATACGTAACTTTCTAGTATATATATGTCATTTAGAACTTTCTTTGGCAACTTATATAATTATTATTAAAATTATTATTATAATTCTTATTATAATTCTTATTATAATTATTATTATAGTTATTATTAAAATTATTATTATAATTCTTATCATTATAATTATTATTATTATTATTGTAATAATTTATTATTATTATTTTATTATTATAATTATTATTATAGTTATTATTATAATTATTATTATAATTATTATTATAATTATTATAATTATTATTATAGTTATTATTATAATTTTTCTTATGATTATTAATTATTATTATGATTATTATGATTATTATAATTATTATAATTATTATAATTATTATAATTATTATTATTATAATTATTATAATTATAATAATTATTATTATTATGATTATTACAATTATTATTATTACAATTATTATAATTATGATTATAATTATTATTATTATGATTACTTCTATAATTATTATGATTATTATGTATATTACTGTTATTAATATTATTATAATTATTACTATTATAATTATTATTATTATAAATATTATAATTATGAATTTTATAATTATTATTATATATATTACAACAGTGATTTTTTATATAATTATTATTCTAACCATTATTATAATTATTACTTATTATTATTTTATTACTTATTACTTATTTTTATTTTTTATTATAAAAATAATGATCATTTTTTTAAGTTTTTATAATTATTTTTATTATAATTAATTATTTCTATTATAATAATTGTCATTATATAATTGTTTTTATAATAATTTTTACTGTTATATTTATTATTATAAAAATTATTATGATGGCATTTATTATTATAATTTTTATTATAATTAGTTAATTAGTAATTTTTTAATTAGTTTAATTAGTAATTTTCATTGAAATTATTATCATTACTACTGTAAAAATTATTAGTATACTAATTTTTATTATAATTATTATAATAATTTTTATTATAATTATTATAACTACAAATTATTTTTTTTGCTTAGACTGACACAGCGGCTTTGGATATATTTAAAATTTTTATAATCTTTATTAGAATAATTAATATAATTGTTCTTACAATTTTTATTATAAATTTTATTATTTATTATTATTGAATTTTTTTTTATTAATTAATCTTATAGTTATTATTTCAAATAGAAATAAATAAATACTTATTTAATATCTCAATATTATTTTTATCTTAAATGTTTGTTTATACATTATATATATGATTAATATATAAGTATTTAGTCCTTAAATATCTTTTTCATATAAAAAAAAATATATACGATCAATATTCACTTAGTTGTAGTATTTATATTTATAAAAGATTAATTGAAATATTAGAAAGCATTTAATGAACAAAATTTTTTTTAATTTGATTACATATATTTCTAAAAATGCATATACTTAAATTATTTATATTTTAACGTTTAAGTTAAATTTATAATGAACTTATCATGTAAATGAACTAATGATATTTTAAACTTTGTTGAAATATTAATTATATGTTGTACTGGTACAATATGCGCATTAATAAAAATAGAAATTTGCTTAAAATTTGCTTTGTAAAATGTTCTTACAAACTTATTAAAATAAAAAATTAAGTTAAATTGGTATTTTAAATTTTACCATATATATTAACCATAATAAGACTAGCATAAAAGATGTAAGAGAGGATGGTGAGGGATTTAAGTAGGTTGCGCTTTGTGGCCTTATTCAGTGCTGTGAATTAACATTCAAACTTTTTAGAGGAGTTTATTTATATCTTCATTTAAATTTCGTTACTGCATTCTTATATTCTATATTTGTGGAAATTTTCGTATACTTTGAAAATTAAAATTTTTGCAGGGTCATCTAACAAATATATGTAATTAATTGATATTTGTCTAAAAAGAGGTTATAATTATTAATATATATGTGCATTGGGCGTTATGGTACTTGTATAAAAGTATAGTTTATATATGAAAAGTATTGCAGCTTTAGCAAAAGACAAAGTCAACTTTCTTATCATATTATTATGACAAACAGATATATTTGATCGATATCCGACAAAAAATAGTTTATAGGTATTAATATATATGTATATTGGATGCTACTTTATGCAATGAATACCAAAATACACCTGCATAAAATTTAGTATTTGTTTAAAGTGTATTTGTATAAAGAGTATTGTAGAGTCAACTTCTCATCGGGTTTTGATGATAAACAGATATGTCAAAAATGAGACTTTTGGTATTACTATATATGGACGTACATTGGATGTTACGCTATCAACGGTTAAGCAGATATATCTGAATAAAAATCTAATATATGTACGAAAGGTGTTAAAACTTTGACAAGTGTATGTTGTTTTTTGACGTATATCAAATTATTTAAGTAAAAAAATAATTGCTGATATTTTTTTTTGTATATTTCCATTTCAGTTTATGAAATAAAAATTTTTGGGGTCAAAAATCTGCATGTTTTTAAGCAAACAATTCCTTTAAGATAAATAGACGTTGAAGTTCTTTGACTACAAACAAGTACTTTTTTTATTTTTTACACTTTCAATCATTTTGCGGTTAGTTTTATATTTTAAGGATACGTCTGTGAGTGATATTTTCCATCAAACGTTCTTAAATTTTAAATTGCATTTTGTGGTTCTTGTTTAAATCATTTTCTAATATGACATTTTTTTTTATTTATTTATTTTTTTAAAGTATAAAATTAAATTCAATATAAAAAACTTGATTTATTAAAAATGGTTTATTAAAATTTGATTTAATTTCAATAAACTGTTAAAAGAAATATTTTCTTTAAAAATTTTTATTTGTTAAATAATTTTTATTGTGTGTGTATAAATTAATGAGAAATACATTATTTATACGAGAGAAAACCATTAAAATCTGTGCCCAATTCCAATCACCCAAGTACAAGGTATTAACTTAAGTACGGATGGAATTGCACGAAGTATTGAGTATGAAAATAAATTGAATGGAAAGAATACTGTGCATTGCATTAACAAGCCAATGCAAGTGCAATAACAAAAAGGACGAGAGATGCACATTTTTCCTAGAAGGCAATGCCATGCTTGCATATGATTCAATGGCGGCATGGCATGTGTTGCTTGGGGCAACCACAGATACGATAGGTTCTTTGAAGTCGATTGTCATATAAATAATATAAATTTAAATTGGTGAATTATGCACGAAGAGTTATGAATTTCTCAATAAGCCAATATGCAATAAACTCGAAGTGCAATAAAATCAAACTATAATAATACAATAATAATAACAATAAAAATAAAAACAGGAATAAATGTAGTAAGTTATTTTCCTTTAAAGTCTTCTGATGTTAAATTAATTTATATAGAAAATTATTTAAAGCAATAAAAATTTATTTTTAAGATGATTTTTACTTATATTTAAAATAATTTGATAAATTATCTTCACAAATATTGATTCAGTACATTCTCAACTCATGAATAAATGCTGCAGCACATCCTTATTCCCCAACATTTACATATTAAGCACACTTCTATGTTTTCCCCCCGAGCTGTGCGGCTATACGGCTATACGGCTATACGGCTGTATGGCTTCACGGCAGTAGGGCTATACGAATGTATTCGTATTCGTATTTGTAGCTGTAGCTGTAGTTGTTGTTTGTGTATTCAATCAACTTGACCATGAGACCCCAAAAAATATACATATGTGTAAAGTTCTGAACCTTTTTGGTTTAAACATTTCCTTTTGAATTCAAATTGGAATTCGGTTTTGCATAGGTTTGTGTTTGTAAAGTCCTTCGCTTGAGTACAGAATTTTTGGTACGTTTTTTCGTAGGAGTTTTTTTTTTGTGTACGACTCGAATAAATTGAAATAAACTTTCGTTTAAAATTCGATTTCTGACAGCTTTTTTAAATTCGGTTTTCTTTATAATTTTTTCTCTACTGTTCTGTCATTCAGTTTTTTTTGGGTTAGATACGTGCCTTGCCGTGTAGTTCATCCTAACTTGGCAGTTTTATTACGGAGGCATCTTGAGTGCTAAAGTTTATATCAAATTTTCTTCAAATTATTTTAAAGGATTTTTTTTTATTTCTTTTTATTTTCATAAGTTCAAAATTTATGTTTTTTGGTACGAGGATCTTGATTTGAAATTTTGCTTTTTTTTCCTTGAAAAGTTCAAAGATGATCTGATATGTTTATGAAATTTGATTCCTAGTATGTGAGTTGAATATAAGTAATTAGGTTGTTTGAAAAGAAGTAAGAAAAAAATAGGAATAATTGAATTGACTCAAATTATATTTTTGAAAAACATTGATTTGAAATTAATAGAAAGTTACATATTTATATATTAATATATAAATATCAATTAATTGATATAAGCAAATCATATTTTGGTAAGTAAAAAAATCACTCGTACGTATGTTAAATTTATTGTTGTTAACATTTAATAAATATATATGTATATATTTTTTTTTTTGTGCGGAAAGTAGGTTTAAAAATACCTAAGGCATCGTCACTACGCCCAGTTTGTACAGACTAAAAACCAATTCCCCTCGTGTGCCAGACCGTTTCTACCTTGCAACTTAATAGGGAATACTTCAGGGTAGAGCACCTGTGTTCTTCATCATATATCTTCATAATATAGATGGTAATAATATTGTACAATATAGAAGCAAGTAATATCCAACTTTACTTTATCGGAAATACTTCCGGATAGGGTCCCTGTGTTGGTTATCTATTAAAAAATTGTTTTTTCTTCATTAGTCTACGTCCAGGCCTCACTTAGGTTTATTTGTTTGTGTATACATTGTGACCGAAAGGTTTTCGGAAATTCTCATTTAAAATTCGCGCGCTGTATATTTTCGATATTTTAAGTTTATGTAGTTTGGCAGCACTGTCCTTAATTACTATGCCAAAAATGAGCGCGATCTGTCAGACAGTTCGTTTACGGCAGCTGTTGAAACCAGTTCACCTCAGTAGTGCGTTGCGAAAAAAACAATGGAAAAAAATATTGAACAAAGAGTTTGCATCAAATTT